ACAAACTGGAAAATTCTTAAATAGATCGGGAATACCAGACCACCTTACCTGTCTCCTGAGAAACCTGTATGCAGGTCAAGAAGCAACAGATAGAACAACAGACTGGTTCGACAAGGCTGTATATTGTCACCCTGTTTATTTAACTTCTATGCAGAGTACATCATGTGAAATGCCAGGCTGGATGAATCACAAGCTGCAATCAAGATTGCTGGGAGAAATATCAACAACCTCAGATATGCAGATGATACCACTCTTATGGCAGAAAGTGAAGAAGAACTAAAGAGGCTCTTTATTTATTTTTGGTTGCACTGGGTCTTCATTGCTGTGTGCAGGCTTTCTCTAGTTGCAGCGAGCAGGTACAACTCTCTAGTTGCTGTGTGCAGGCTTCTTATTGCAGTGGCTTCTCTTGTAGAGCAGGGGCTCTAGGGCAGCATGGTCAGCAACTGTGGCCCATGGGCTTCGTTGTACCTTGGCATATGGACTCTTCCCACACCAGGGATTCAACTCATGTCCCCTGCATTGGCAGGCAGATTCTTAACTACTGTACCACTAGGGAAGTCCTAAAAAGGCTCTTGATGAAGGTGAAAGAGGGGAGTGAAAAAGCTAGCTTAAAACTCAACATTCAGAAAACTAATATCATGGCATCTGGTCTGATTACTTCAAGGCAAATAGATGGGGAAAAAGTAGAAACAGTGACAGAGTTTCTTTTCTTGGGCTCCAAAATCACTGCACACATTGACTGCAGCCATGAAATTAAAGCTGTTTGCTCCTTGGAAGGAAAGTTAATGACAAACCTGGACAGCACATTAAAAAACAGAGACATTACTTTGCTGACAAAGATCTGCCTAGTCAAAGCTATAGTGTTTCTGGTAATCATGTACAGATGTGAGAGACCACATAGAAGGCTGAGCACTGAAGAATTGATGTTTTCAAGTTTTGGTGCTGGAGAAGACTCCTGAAGGTCCCTTGGACTACAAGATCAAACCAGTCAATCCTGAAAGAAATCAACCCCAAATGTTCATTGGAAGGACTGATTATGAAGCTGAAGCTCCAATATTTTGGCCACCTAATGTGAAGAGCCCACTCATTGGAAAAGACCCTGAAACTGGGAAAGTTGGAAGGCAAAAGGAGAAGAGGGAGGCAGAGGATGGATGGTTAGATGCCATCACTGGCTTAATGTACATGAATTTGAGCAGACTCCAGGAGATAGAACAGGGAAGCTTGGCGTGCTGCAGTCCATGGGATCACAAAGAGTAGGACATGACTTGGTGACAGAAGAAGAAGAAGAAGAAACCATTATGAAAAATGATATATATATATATACATGTATATATATTTCATTTAATTTGCTGTACATAAGAAACTAACAAAACACTAAGTCAACTATACCTCAATAAAAATTTTTTAAAAATTCCAGCTTCCACAGATTGAAAACAGGATGAGGTCAATATGATTACATATAACAGGGATAAATGTAAAATTCTATTTGGCCTTCAAAACCTATTGATGGGCAATAGGAGACCTCACTTGATGAGTCTGAGTAAAAATAACTTAGTTGTTTAGGTCAAAACAAGCTTGGAGTATACCTAGGCTAATGCTGACTTAATACTGTCAGTGCAAGGTCCAAATCACAGAAAGGGTAATATAATTTCATCTGCCCTGGTCATGACACATATGAAGTTCTCTATTTCTGATAAAAACAAAAATTGCTGTTTTTTGTATTCTTCTGCCAGGCATGTTTTACAGCATTCTCTAAGAAAAAAGAAAAGCCATTTCCTAGTTGGATTGTGGCCCCACCCTAAACACTGGAGTCTGGATGCTCAGACCTTCTGGATTGTCTGAGACAGAATCTCTTAAGGGAAATGAAAGAACCCTCTCTCACCCGCTTCTCCCATCCAAACTGGGATAGGACTGAGGCAGAAGCAGGGCAATTCTTTTCTTTTTGGGAGCTAGGAAAACACAGCACAAGAAGTTTGCTACCTTAACACATTTTGGAGGAATCCCCCAGAGGAAAAATTTCCTTGTAAGTTTTTCTTTCCCATCGGCTTCCCTATTTTCCACCCCACTCTGCTCCAGGGAGTGTAACTGATCTTGGAGCCCGTAGGGTTGGGTCTGGGACCAGCCGCTCCGAGATGACGTAATGCTTTCTCTGGTACACAAAGCGGCCTCCCCCGGGCTCGGCCTTTTGCGCCCCTCCCCCTCCGGCCCGGATCGGGCCCCCGCCAGCACCAGCGCGGCTGAGTCCCCCTTTTTGAAAAGCCAGCCCAGGGAAACAGGGAACAAAGGCCTGAGAAGAAGAGCCTAGGCGCTGCCAGGAGGCCCAGAAATAGACATCACGTCATCCCCCAGCCCAGCAGCGCCAAGCGCCATTTGGTAGCATCGGACGGACCCCACCATTACGATGCAGAACAGACATGGCAGGGCTCACGTTTCCTCCCAGCCCCAGCATCCAGCTGACCGGCCTCAGGAGTCGCTTCCTTTTTGCTCTCCACCCCCGCACCCCTCTTTCCCCAGAGGCCGCCGCCTCCCCGGGCTGCCTGCCACACAGCCCACAGTCTCCAAGCTGCCATCTTGATGCCCCATCCCCCTTGCCACCTCCCTCCCCCGCAGCCCTGAGGAGTGGGAGGGGGAGGAAGGGGCACCGCCCTGCGTGCCCCAAGGGGGAGGGCTCGGCCTGCCTCACCTCTCCTCCCCGCGAAGGAGGGACTCACGTCCTTCGCAGGCTCTCTGTTTCCCACCTCCAGCGGCACTGACAGTGCACCATCCAAGGTTTTCGCATCCTGGACGTCCCCACCCTTGGTGTGACTCCGGCCTTCTCAGGTCCTGCAGCTCATGGCTCAGGTTCGGACGCTGTCCACTGCCCGCGATACCACCACCGTAGGCCCGATTCTAGAGGGACTGGCACTTGAAAGCCTTGATCTGGGCTTCACGCTCTGCCCAGCCGCTGAGCTCCCTTGGCTTGGCAACGGTTTCACCTACCCCAGGCTTAGTTTGCCAGATTTCTACTTACCAAAGCTAGGTCGGATGTTGGTGATCTCAGCCATGTAATCAGAGGCTATTGATATAAATGCTTTTGCAATGGTCAGACAAGTCTGGGGCCTCCAGTGGGTACCGAGGCCGCCGCTGCAGAGCATTAGGTTAGGGAGGGGGAAGGTATCTGGTGGATGCCTCCTGCGCTGGTCCGGTCCCTGGTTGACAGCTGCAGTCGCCTCTTAAGATGTTACAGAGTTGCGCTGAGCAAAGGATGCAGGTGCCGCCAGACTGGTCCTAACGCCAGGAGGACCAGGCATCCTCCTGGTCCTTCATCCTCCTGAAGAAGGAGGTAGGACCCCCTTCCTCCGAACGGCCTTAGGCAAAAGACTCCGCCTCTGTCCGAAAAGTTCCGGAAGGCAAGCTCCGCCCTTTTCCGGAAGATCCCTGGGAGGGCATCCCTTCCATCGCCAAGATTTCGAGAGAATGAAACCCTACCTATTTAGGGCTTGTGGGTCTATAAGGTGAAATCCTCAAGGCTTGATGAAGGAGGAATGTATGTACTTATCATATGAGATCCTCTAGATCTTGTAATTCGGATTCCCCAGGCTTAATATAGCGGCAGAATGTTCTGGGCGAGGGGGAAGCAGGATTTTGGAAAAATAAAATTCTGTATTTCCTGCATTTGAATATCAATTGCATTATTGTTATGCATTTCTGAGAGCACTAAATGTTATTATTGAAATGTTTTTATTTATTTATTTTTAAAATTTTTAAAATTTATTTATTTTTTTCCATTTATTTTTATTAGTTGGAGGCTAATTACTTTACATCATTGCAGTGGGTTTTGTCATACATTGAAATGAATTAGCCATGGATTTACATGTATTCCCCATCCCGGTCTTGAAATGTTTTTAAACTTACTAATGAAGAGTACCAAAGTTAATCATTGTTGGAAGTTTCAGGTGCTGAGAACTGCTTAGACGAAAGAAAGCGCACGGGAGAGAGAGCAAACCAACGGATCTACAGGACAGAAACTAAACTGGAAGCTTCTAGAGACTTCCTTGGAATTTGAAAGTTAGGATGATTCTCGGTTAGAGTCACTATTGGTGGTTATCTCCATGATTACATCAAGTTCACCATTTTTGGCTGTGGATACTTTCACCCCGCTTCAACTCTGTTTACAGACACGATCAGGTCAAGTAAATTATTCAAATGTGTATTTGTTGGTGGTTCACCTGTAACAAGAGCGACATGAATCTTTTTCCAGATTTTACATTCTGTACTTCTAGAAAAGAGGAAAGAACATGGTTTTAGGAGTTATTCATTCAAAACACGTATTGAATTTATTGGCCTTCGTCTGTGTTCCAGGCACCTTCCTGGAAACCGGATTAATACATTAGAACCTAGAGTCAGGATATCTGATTCCATCTGATAGTTGTGCATCTTTGTGAAATCACCTACACAGCTGAGCCAAAATTTTGTCTTGTTTAAACCGGGAGGTATAATAATAGCCATTGTCCCATAGAATTTATTGTGATGACTGAAAATAATCACCTATGATAAGTGAAAGCATTTTATAAGCAGAGTATTATACAGATATTAATAATTACTGTGGGTTGAATTAAAGACTTATTGTTGTTCAGTCAATCAGTTGTGTCCGACTCTTTGCAGCCCCACGGACCACAGCATTCTGGCTTCCCTGTCCTTCATTATCTCCCAGAGTTTGCTCAAACTCATATCCATTGAGTCAATGATGCCATCCAACCATCTTATCCTCTGTCGCCCCCTTCTCCTCATGTTCTCAAATCTTTTGTAGCATCAGGGTCTTTTCCAGTGAGTCTGCTCTTCCCATCAGGTGGCCAAAGTACTGGAGCATCAGGTTCATAATCAGTTCTTCCAATGAATATTCAGGATTGATTTCCTTTAGGACTGACTGGTTTGATCTCCTTGTAGTCCAAGGGACTCTCAAGAGTCTTCTCCATTGCCACCATTCAAAAGCATCAATACTTCAGCACTTATCCTTCTTTATGGGCCAACTCTCACATCCATACATGGCTACTGGAAAAACTATAGCTTTGACTATACGGATCTTTGTCAGCAAAGTAATGTCTTTGCTTTTTAATATGCTGTCTAGGTTTGTCATATCTTTTCTTCCAAGGAGCAAGAGTCTTTTATTTTTTTTTTTTTTTGAGCAAGAGTCTTTTAATTTCATGACTGTAGTCCACAGTAATTTTGGAGCCCAAGAAAAATTCTGTCACTGTTTCCATTTTTTCCCATCTGTTTTCCATGAAGTGATGGGACTCGATGCCTTGATTTTAGTTTCTTGAATGTTGAGTTTTGATTCAGTTTTTTCACTCTCCTATTCCACCTTCATCAAGAAGCTCCTTATCCCCAGCAGGCCTGCCAGGCTTGCTCCAGTAAAGGCAATTCCAACCTCCAAAAAAAAAAAAAAAGCTTTTTGGCTCTTTAGTACCTCTTCCCTTTCTGCCGTTATGATAGTGTTATCTTCATATCTGAGGTTATTGATATTTCACCTGGCAATCTTGATTGTAGCTTGTGCTTCATTCAGCCTGGCATTTAGCATGACATACTCTGCATATAAGTTAAATAAGCAGGGTAACAATATACAGCCTTGATGTACTGCTTTCCCAATTGTGAATCAGTCTGTTGTTCCTTGTTTAGTTCTAACTGTTGCTTCTTGACCTGCATACAGGTTTGTTAGGAGACAGGTAAGGTGTCAGGTATTCCCCATCTCTTTAACCATTTTCCAGTTTGTTGTGATCCAGACAGTCAAAGGCTTTGGTATAATCAATGAAGCAGAAGTAGATGTTTTTCTGAAATTCCTTACTTTTTGCTTTATTCAGGAAACTGTACTATTTGTAACCCAAGAATTCTTTCTGAAATTTCATGAATTCTCCATTTTCTTGGGTCCTCTATTCCAGGTGTTTTGCGGCGAGAAGGACTGTCAACTTAAACCACTGAACCTTAATACCCAGTTTTGTTTTGAGTAGGATTGCTCCGTGGACAGAGACAGGTATTGCCTTTAAACTTTTTTGCCCACAACGGAAGTACTATTCTTTTGGCTTCATTGTGCCCTAACATAGAATGGCGTCTGAGATCAGCGCATGCTCTTTGACTCCCTGACGCGGCGCACAGCGACCTGGGGGCGAGCACGTCAGTCGCTGCCGTTGACTGACTTCCGGTGATACCGAAGCTGAGTTTCCGCGGGATCCGGCTGGCTGGTGAGGGTACTGGGTCGAATGCGGTGGGGCGGGAACTGGCAGCTTGGAACTGTACGTTCGGACGAAGGATGTCCAGGCTGAGGCGGTTTGGTCTAGGGCTGATGAGGATTGCTTGACAGAGGTAGGGAAGTGAAGGTGTGTATCTGGGAGTGGAGACTTGGGCCAGCGTTCCGCGTCGAGGTGAAAAGCGCAGTTAGGACCCCTTTGTGAAATCTTTTTCCAGAAGGGGTCCGCTCCACGTTTGCCACCGGATTTGCCTTCATTCATGCTGTTGGTTTGATTGCAGTTCCCAGAGATTGGGCAGAGCCTCTGTTGTATTTGTTGTTCCTGAGCTGATCCCTGCATGCTACTGACTTTGAATAGTAGCTGTATTTCTTTTTTTCATTCCCCCTCGTCACACCACCTTTTTTTTTGACCTCAGTAATTTATCTGAAATGTAAGACTGGCCTGAACTAATGCCACTACCCTAATTCTCTCTCAGCTTTCCCTTTTCAGAGGCATCCTTACTTGTTTATTGAAGTTTAATTATCAAGTTACGGACAAAAGTTTGTTTGGCCTGTGCTGAGGAATTAAAGTGGTTTAAAACTAACTTTATAGTTCAGACTCTTAGAAAGTACTTTATGTTGCCATCCTCTAGTCCAGGTTTTCACCTGGTGTCTGGTAGATGGGTGTTCAGTCCTTACTTGAACATTATTAGTGATGAAGAACTCACTGTATCAATCACAGAGCAGTGTATTCTATTCTTGGACCTAGCTCAAAAACCTGAGAATAAAGGTTTTTTGGGTAGAAAGGTGCAGTTAGTTTCCATATAATGCTCTTGGTCAAGCCTTCATAGAATATGCGCAGAATAGGAAGTTCACACATTCATTCGGGGAACAGTTATTGAGTGTCTGCAATAGGGCAGATATTGCTGAGTATTAGTAGAATTCCTTGAAAGAATCTTTTCCCTCTAAAAGCACATTGTGGGGAGGGTGATGGGAGAGAGACAAGAAGTAATTGTAAAAGTGGTAAGTACAAAAAAAAGAGGTTTGCAAATAGTTTCTAAGAACAAATGAGAAGATACCTCCACTTTAGGATAGTGTTGCCATTAAAATGTGATAATTTGAATTGAAGCCAAGAGTCCAGAATTTTCATAGAAAACAGTTAGTTTTTGGTACAAAAAAGTATGTTACTAATTTTGCAGATGCAGCTTTTGTTTTCAGTACAGAATTTCTGTTAGTATAGTTTCACCGTTTCTGTTAGTATAGTTTCACCGTTTTACATATCCACACTTTTTTTTGGATTGTTTCTGTTAATCGAAATACCTGTGTATGTAAGGAACAATTGCAAACATTTACTGGTCTAATAAATTACTGTCTAATTTCATAAATGCAACTTTATAGCAAACAAACAGATTCAAGTTAAATAATTCATACAAAGTCACAAGACTAGAGAGAAGCCTACTTGGGAAGCAAATGCTGGTAGTTTGACTCCACAGTTTACTCTCAGCATCCTGCTGTTCTCCCTCCCTGATGGTAATAATAATAACTAACACTTATTAATTGCTTACTATTTAATCCTTATAACAACTCCATAAGTTTAGGAAAATTATTATTATTATTATTATTTTTTTTGCTCAAAAATGGGAGTTTATTGTACTTAATTTAGAGGTTCATATTTCAGGTTTTAACAATTGTTTTCAATTTTAAATAAAAATTTTTTCAACACTTTTTATTTTATTTTATTTTTTATTTTTGAATCAGTTTCTTTATTGCTTGCTTTAGAAATACAGGCATACCTTGTTTTATTGAAGTTCCCAGATAGTACTTTTTTTTTTTTTTTTTTTTTTACAAATTAAAGGTTTGTCAGCAAGTCAAGAAAGTCTGTAGGTACCATTTTTCCAACAGCATTTGTTCACTTCGTGTCTGTGTCACCTTTTGGTAATTCTCACAATATGTCAAACTTTCCAATATCATTACATTTGTTTTTGTTTTTTTTTTTTTCTTTTTTTTTTTCATTTATTTTTATTAGTTGGAGGCTAATTACTTTACATCATTGCAGTGGTTTTTGTCATACATTGAAATGAATTAGCCATGGATTTACATGTATTCCCCATCCCGGTCCCCCCTCCCACCTCCCTCTCCACCTGATCCCTCTGGGTCTTCCCAGTGCACCAGGCCCGAGCACTTGTCTCATGCACCCAACCTGGGCTGGTGATCTGTTTCACCCTAGATAATATACGTGTTTCGATGCTGTTCTCTTGAAACATCCCACCCTCGCCTTCTCCCAGAGTCCACAAGTCTGTTCTATACATCGGAGTCTCTTTTTCTGTTTTGCATATAGGGTTATCGTTACCATCTTTCTAAATTCCATATATATGTGTTAGTATACTGTAATGGTCTTTATCTTTCTGGCTTACTTCGCTCTGTATAATGGGCTCCAGTTTCATCCATCTCATTAGAACTGATTCAAATGAATTCTTTTTAATGGCTGAGTAATATTCCATGGTGTATATGTACCACAGCTTCCTCATCCATTCATCTGCTGATGGGCATCTAGGTTGCTTCCATGTCCTGGCTATTATAAACAGTGCTGCGATGAACATTGGGGTGCACGTGTCTCTTTCAGATCTGGTTTCCTCGGTGTGTATGCCCAGAAGTGGGATTGCTGGGTCATATGGCAGTTCTATTTCCAGCTTTTTAAGAAATCTCCACACTGTTTTCCATAGTGGCTGTACTAATTTGCATTCCCACCAACAGTGTAAGAGGGTTCCCTTTTCTCCACACCCTCTCCAGCATTTATTGCTTGTAGACTTTTGGATAGCAGCCATCCTGACTGGTGTGTAATGGTACCTCATTGTGGTTTTGATTTGCATTTCTCTGATAATGAGTGATGTTGAGCATCTTTTCATGTGTTTGTTAGCCATCTGTATGTCTTCCTTGGAGAAATGTCTGTTCAGTGCTTACACTTTTTATTTTTAATAAAAGTTTGTATCATTAGAACTCTCCAGGATTTCACAGGCAAGGATAATGGAGTGGGTTGCCATTTCCTTCTCCGAAAATTATTATTTTTTACAGTTGAGGGAACCAAAGTTTGGAGAGGTCACTCAGGCAGGATAACACACTAACCAGTAAGAGAGTTAGGATTCGAATTCTGCTTTTCTAACCTGTCTCTTACTTTCCACCTAATGGGAGATTGTGCATTTGGTGTAATATACAGTGTTCATGATTGAACATGAATAAGTGAAAATATGTTTGAGGAGATGTTATTACCTTTAATTAATAAGATGGTGATAAGAACTTGCCTTTATCCTTTCAGGATGGAACAAAAGTGGGACTTGGAAAATGTTGCCCTGTAAGAAGAGAAGAACTACGTTGACAGAGTCCCCACAACATCAGGGCAGCCAGGAGGAAGATGACTTAGACCTTCAGTCAGCTGTTAAACCAGAATCTGACCAAGTTAAAGACCTGGGGTCAGTGTCCCTGTCCTGGAGTCCAAGTCACGGCAGAGCAGCTGACCTTGACGTGCAGGATGCCGGAATTCAGCTTGGTATGGAGGACCCATCTTTGAGCTCTAGGATGCTCACCGACAACACAAATGTTGCAGTTCTGGAAGCTGTGGATGTGGCCATCTCTCAGGAAATCACCCTACCTTCCTTGGCGTCTTCTCAGCCTGTAAATACACACATTGGTAAAGGAAAACTTCAGGCCACTAGCTCAAGGAGAGGGAAGAAAATTACACTCAGACCTGGGTCAGTTACTCAAGAAGACAGAGGCGATCATCCTATCGCAAAGGAGCCTTTTTCAGAAGAGCCTAGTGAAGAAGTCAAGGAAGGAGGAGGTAAGACATGGAAAATCTTCAGGTTACATTTTCTTCGTCAGTACAGGCTTGTCATTGCCTTTGCACTTGTCATTGCACTCTCTGCAGTGTCTTTACAAAATAACATTTCTGAAAGGGGATGCTGGTTGGGTGTGGATTTGGAGCTGTGGTGCTTGTGAGTGTCAGCACTGAACAGTATGATTATAAATGGGTAGAAGCTTTCTTTTCCCCTCCCATTTCCTTGATCATCTTCCTTATTCTTTTCTTTCCTTTCTCTTACCTTTTCATTATTTCTGGAGGGATGAACTGTGTATGTCCTTTTGTGATTTGATGGCTATTTATGGAGTGGACCTTGAGAGATTACTGCCTCTGTCATTTGGATAGGCTCTCCAGAAATGCCATAACCCTTAGGACTTGAAGGATGAGTATGGTTTGATAGAGTGATGGCATGGAATATCTTAGGCCATGAAGAGTCTGGCAGAGACAGAAGCAGAAGAGGTTTGGGTGCTCACTTGAGTGGTAGATTGTATTTGGATTGTGAAGGGCTTTTTTTTTTTTTTTTAAATTTTTGGCTGCACTGGGTCTTTGTTTCTGTG